CAGAGACAAAAGATATTAAAAAAAAAATCACTAGTGACTGGGGAAAGCAAAAGAGATGCACAAACCCACAGAAATGATGCCATTTCCTCTGAACAGCTACACTGACCCTTTCTAGAGGGATGATTTCTGCAAATACAAGCAGAACAATCAGCTAGTGCTAAAATAGGAAAAGCCTCAAGGAGCTTAAGGAAAACACTGGGAGCATGGAACAGAAAGGAGACGAAGAATAAACCAGAATAAACCAGAACAAACCAGCCCTGCTCTGTAACTCAGAGGGCAGAGCAGCCCAAGTCGGGGCAATGTTTCTGAGAACCCCCTCCCAAGGCTGGGGAGCTTCCCTGACCACCTGAGCTCTCCTTCCCTCCCACTGCCCTTGCCAGGGCACCATGGGCAGCAGGGACAGGAATCCTCAGGGCTGAGCACAGTTTGGGAGCAGCCAAGGGAGGGCAGCCCCTCTCACCTCAGCTCTGCACACTGGGGGATCTCTGCAGGGCTCATTTGCACTCCCTGGACTGTATTATTTGTTTTGCAGTATTGCTGCAACCCTGTTGTTTTGTTTGGGTCCTTTTAAGCCCAGTATCCAACAGAACAGGCCTACAGGAGTGTATTCTGTGTGCACATCCTTCCCCGTTCTTTCCTCCAATTCAACGATCAATAATTATCAGTCTATGGACCAATTTCCACCAAACTCAGGAAAACAGAGATAGCAAACCATGTAAGTTCCTCTACATTTTTAAAAATATTAATTTCTTAGAAAAAGGATGTTTAATTCCTCTCCCACAAGCAGTGTCCTATTAAAGTAAGACTACAGGAAAAAACAAAACTATGAGACACCAAAGAAGCCACATCAGTGAACCAGAAAAAAAAAAAAAGCCTTCGAAAAAAAAATTCCACTGCTTGAAGCAGTGCTTACTCTTAGCACAATTCAGAGCTGGGTTTACTCTCTCAGCCAACACTGATGTGACAGCCTAGTGAGCCTAACTTAGTAAAAACTATTCTAGAAAACAGATCCATAGGCAGCTAAAGAAACAATGGCATTTAGACAGGGAAACCAACCTCCCTTTTGCACAGGAAAGTCATGTTCCATAAGCCCACAGGAGTTCTCTCAGAGCTGCCCCTTCAGCACACACCCATGGACAAAGCCTGCTCTAATTCCCAAGGGACATTCCACAGGACTCTTCACAAAAGGCTCCTAAAGACATGAAGCTGCCATGGTAACAATAGGCCTTGGACAGGTTATGTGGCAAGGACAGAGGAAACAGAGAGCAAACCAAATGTCATCTCTGACAGCAGGGCAAGGCCACCAGGGAAGTCCCACAAGGACACAGGGCTTGGAGCAGCCTGGTCTAGTGGAAGGTGTCCCTGCCCAGGAGCAGAACGAGACAAGCTTTAAGGTCCCTTGCAACCCAAACCTCCCTGTGACACTGAATATGTGCTGGAGGCCAGGCTCCCACCTCGGGGAGAGGAGCAGAGCACCAACAATTTGCTGGTGACACCAAGTTCCTCATGGGAAGGCTGCAAAGAGGGGAAGAACAAACACGGGCTACAGAGAGCAAAGCTGGCAGAGGGAGGTCAGGAAAGGTGAGGAGTGCCCCAGGAATCCCAGGTTTACACACAGTGGTGGCTCCACACTGACACCCAGGACAGCACACGCAGCTGAGGGCTCTGCACCTCCACCTGCAGCAGCAGGGGCTCGACCTCCAGCACCAGTTTTCCCCAAAAATACTCTTGCCACTGACCTTGCATCACCTCTAGCAACTCCCTACCCTGCTGGCCCTGACTCAGTTCAGTCACTGGGCAGAAAAATGCCCCTCCCAAGCAGATGGGTTTGCCAGGGAGGGAAGGGTCAGGGCAGCAGCAGCACGAGCACAAAGGAAGGGGAGAGCTGTGCAGCTGTGGAGGCACACACTGACTCCTCTCTCAGCCTTGGAGGCACACACTGACTCCTCTCTCAGCCCTGGAGGCACACACTGACTCCTCTCTCAGCTGTGGCAGAGCAGCTCAACCATCTTGTGCAATCCCACTGGCAGCAACAAGCTCATGTGGTCCTAATGAACAGCCCTAGGAATTAACAATGCAAAGCTGGCACATTTGTCATTCATTTAAGATGGAATTCATTACCCATTTCCCAATGAAGTTTCACTCGCCATTTATAAACACAAACATCTTCCTGGTCCTTGGGGATTCTAACCCTAAAAGAAGGGAGAGAAACCCTCATGTGGGGGAGAGCAAACAGATACTCAGCTTGTTATTTGATTTGTTTCAAAAAGCACCACCACATGCTATGCCCTAGTATATAAAAAAATGTATCCAAGATGAATTGTTTTGATTTTTATTATTTTATTGTAGAAAAATATTTGACATTTAGAAGCATTTCTGACACACAGGACAATCTCTTTGCAACTCTACAAAGAAATATCTTTTTCTATGAGCTGAACAATCTGTCAACACTGTTTTCACTCAGCTAACCTGCCAATATAATACAAACCTGCTATATGGAGAGTTACAGAATATAGACTCATCAGATTTATTTATAGAATAAATAATGTATATGCTGCTGAAACCCTGCACAGCAAGGGGCACAGTTGGCTGGATGTTGCCTCGTGCTGCTTTCCAGTAAAACATTACTTTTGGGAACCACCTGAAACAACCTGCCCTTCAGCTGAGGCAGGACAGGCTTAAGAATCCAACCTCCTGCTCTTAATATCGAGATAAAAGATGAATTACTGAGCGGCTGAACTCCCACTATGCTCCCACACCACAGTGCTGAGAGGCCTGTCCCACCTAACCATGTGCAGCCAAGGCCCTTCTGAGTCTTCTGAGGCTGAGCCTACAAACACAGCCTGGGCAGGACAAGCAGCTCTGGGGACAGGGAGAGCACCACAGAGCAGCCAGGGGCCTGAAGGGATGGAAAGCCTTGTATTTGCACCACTTGTACCCAAGATGGAACTACCTGCATTTATAAATGGGCCCTTTCTCCCAAAATATTCCAAAACTAAAGCAGAGTTACCAAATTTATCAAGTTTATGTTGTACCTACAGTCCAAAGCAGGACACGCGTGACACTGTTTGGCCCTGATGAATCTACAGTCCAAGGCCTCCTGCCATCTCCAGAGCACTGTTACTATTTAAATAGCATTTTCCAAACTCCCATCGTGCCTGTGGAGATGCTGCAGAGCTGCCCAAGCCCAGGAGCACAGCTCCTCTGGGTTCCTGGGCACTGTCCCTCGAGGGACACACAACCTGCCACGTGCTGAAATCATTGCCTACGCTCAGACTTCCAACAGGACATGGCAAAAATTAGCCAGTGGCCACAAAATCCCAGCTAAGGAGAAGATTCCCCCTGCAGCTCCTCCCCTTCAGCTCTTTTAGCCAGCTGAAGGTGGGGTTTGCCTTTAAAAATATTAAGAGTGAAGCTTCACAAAACAACACTTGTTTTTGGAAGTGTATTTGCAGACTGAAAAGTTGCAACCGACGGTCACAATAATGCTCTCTAAACCACTCACCTTCTAAGGGAATAAAGAAATGAGTCATTGTGTTCTGATCACATACTGAACACCCAAACCAACAAAGGTACACCAGTATGGAAAAGCAAAATACTGCATATCCCCAAAAGGCCTGCTAGAAACAGCAAAACCATCTTCTGCTGGTGAACTCAAACTCTGCAGGATTTCTTTCTTGGAGAAGAAAGAAAACCAACTCTGCTCCTTTCTATCTTTAGCCAAAGGAGCAGACACAGTGGCACTGCAGGGGAGAGATGACAATCTGCAACGGGAGCTTCAGAGCTCCACGTGATAAATGAGAGTGACTCCAGCGAATCCCCGAAACTTTAAATAAAGCATGAAATATCATGCAGATGCTGGTTGGCATTTGAAGTCCTGAAGCCAGTACACCAGATTTAGACAAAGCACCTCCTTATCTTGGCACCAGAGCCAGCATCACCTTCTGGGTCTGACTCCAAGCCCCAGAAGGCAGAGCCTCACCCCAACACTTGGGCACTGCAAGGTGCAGCACAGGTAGAGCCAGGTCTCACCCAGCAGTGCTGAGTCCAAAGTTAGGACTTAATAGTCCCAAACCACTTCAGTTCGCTGCTTTCAGTGTGTCTTGTGTTCACTGCAGAAATGGCACTTTGGAATTTTCAGCAGGGTGGGCAAGTCTGTTGTGCATGTTACCAGAAAACAGGTCAGAAATGTTTCAGGAAAGGCACGTTCATATCCCAGTAAAAGGATTTTTCTTAGAAAGTCATCACCATTTAGCATTTCGGCCCCACTGCATCCTTACACTTCTAGGAGCTCACTTGCCTACTAAAATGGTATTTAAATTATCAATATTTAGCCTTATATCAGGGCAAGCCTTTGCAACAGAGGGAAAGAAAGGAGAGAATCCAAAGTCGCCAGCACAAACTTGAGGTACGTGTTGTTATTTCAAAACAAAACATATTCACTTGTTGAGTTTCTGACTATCCCAAGGAACTCATTTGGTCAGTGCATCCAAATATTTAATGTTCACAAACCTTCTCAGCTATCAGAAGGTGACTGCAGTTGCAGAAGTCACATACAAGTCTACACAACACGAGGGCAGGTTATGGACAGGGACAGGAGCTGAGCAGCTCAGAGACTCTAGAGCAAAGCTCCAGTACCAGGGTTTCAGCTGCCCTCACAACTTCTGACCACTGCACTGTGTGGGCATTTGGCCATAAATGCTGCCTCTCTCAGTGAGCTCATCGACTTCAGCACGTTTGTAAAACATCAGGAACCACCCCAGCCCGTGGGCTGCCGATGGCCAGTGCTCTGAACACAGGGGTGGGGACCCGCTCCTCTGAACCTCCAAACTGACCCTAAGTGCTCACTAGCTCTGCAAAGGCACTGCTTTCACTACCCACCCCCACTGCTGCACATCCACAGCAACCCAGAGTATCAACTGAACACTCTCTGGTGAGCAGCCAGTAAAAACTACACCCTCTCAGATTCATCACAGCCCTACAGCCAGGCCCCTGCTCACCAGGAAATCCTGCCGCATCACGGGTTGCCTTGTCATTTCCAAACGCTCTGCACCCACCACGTGTTTCTCAGGCTTTCCATCAAAAAGTCATCACAGTTGAGTCAGAAAGAAAGAATAACTTGGCTTCTAATTCTGTAAAAGTAAGAACTTCTTCACACGGTCAGAACACCTTTCCACAGACAACCTGCACACCGCCTCATGGCCCTGTGATTTCCTCATGGATGGATGGACTGTGATGTTGAAACGCTCATCAAATGTCCCTGCCATCTCACCAGACAAGGCAAAACTACTCTGGATCCAGAGGATCTGGACTAGCCCTTCTCCAACACCACCCCTATCACCAGTGTAATAACTGAGCAGTTGAGCAAGTCTTCAGAAGCCTGAACCCAGGCATTAATGTCACCCATTGCCCCAAACACAGACACAATTCAAAAGCAGTTGTGTCAGTGGTGTGACCTGAAGAAGGTTTTTTGTTCCTCAGCAACTTAATAGATGCCATCACTAGACTAACTCCGCACAGCTGGAACACAACTGAAATAATCAATACTTACAAAGCAGCTCAATTTAGTTTAATTAAACTCACACTGTCTTACCAGAAGCTAAGTTTTTTGACACTGGTATTGGCAGTCACGTCCCTTTAAGTTGCTCTATGGATACTACAACTACCCTCTTTCTCCCAAGTCCCTCTTGGTCCCAAGCAGTGCTCCCGCTGCCTGCTCCGTCCCAGGAGCACGGGATAAGCCGAGTGTGGCTGCCCAACACTCCCCGCACGGGCCCGGCACCGTGTCTCCAGCACAACCTCTGCTGTGAGTCCAGCAGCTCGGGCCCCCAGCCTGGCGTCCTGCCTCTGCCCGCTGCCAGCCCCGGTCAGGGGGCACTGCCTGTACCCGGCTGCTCCGGAGGCACAGCCCCGGCCCGGGACCCCGGCACCGCCGGCACCGCCTCCCGCCGCCGCCGGGCTCAGCCGCCGTTCCCGCGCCGAGCCGGGGGCAAGCCCGGGGCTGCGTGACCCGCCTGTGCGCCGGGCGAGCCCGGGGCCGCCGCTCCGGTAACGGGATGAGCAACAGGAGCGGGGGGTGCCCGGCCCGGGGCTGCCCGGCCCGTCCCCCCGGAGCCCGGCCAGGGCTGGGGCGGCCCGGGCACTCCCGCGGGCCGGGTCCCGCTGGCGGGCCGGGTCGGGCCGTGCCAGAGCGGGCCGGGGCCGCCCCCGGCTCCCGCAACTTTCCCTCCTCCTCCTCCGCCGCCGCCGCCCGGGGCCGGCCGGGGCCGGGGCCGCCGCCACCGAGCCCCGCGCGGCGGAAGCGCCTCCCCCGCTCCTCCCGAGCATCCCCCGCCGCCCCCGCGGGCCCGGCGCGGCCCGGCGCAGGGCGCAGGCCCGGCGGCGGGGGAGGCCGCCCGGCCCGGCCCGGCCCCGCGCCCCCGGCAGCCCCGGCGGGGACAATGAGATGGCGGCGAAGAGCGCCGCGCCCGGGGGACCCGTTGCTCCGGCAGGAGCCGCCCCGCCCCGCGCCGCCTCCTCTTCCCTCCCCTCCCCTTCTCCTCTCTCCTCGCACGGGCAGCGCCCGCTCCCGGCCCGGCCGCCGCGGAGACCGAGCGAGCGAGAGCGGCCCCGGCCCCGCTGCCCCCGCCCCTCGCGCCTCCATCTTGGATCGGCGCCTCCCGCGCGCTCCCTCCCCGCGCGCCGCGCTCACCTCGGGCCGCGCGTCGGCGGCGCCCCGGGAGCGGCCCGGGAGCGCGGCGGGAGCGGCGCTGGCGGCGGGGTCCGGCGGGCGCGGGCCGGGGCCGGGCCGGGGCGGCGGCGCTGGCGGGGCCCGTTGGGCTCAGCGGGGCCGCGATCCTAAACCGCCACCTGGCGGCATTTCCGACCCGCTCGGCGCAGCCGCCCCGCGCGCCGGGCGCGCAGCGCCCCCTGCCGGACGCGCCGCCGCACTGCCCGCCCGTACCGCGCCCGCGCCGGGGAGGAAGGGGCGGGGCCGGGGAGAGGCCCCGCCCCCGGCGCGCGCGGCGCGCGGGAAAACGTCTTTCGCGCGAAAACGGCCGCGCGTGCGCTGAGCGGATACGGACACTCGGGGGGGGGGGCGACTATCGCGACAGGCAGGGGGTGGTTCCGAGCTTCGTGAGGCCATGGGGACCGGGACACCGGGGGGAGGGGGTTGACTATCGCGACAGAGGGGGGGTGGCCCCTGGCTCCGTGCGGCCGCGGGGACAGGGACACCGGGGGGGGGGGGACTGTCGCGACAGAGGTGGCGGGGGGCGGCCCTGAGCTCCGCGAGGCGGCGGGGACAGGGACACCGGTGACAGGGGCGACTGGCGACAGAGCGCGGGCCCAGGGCGGGCCGGAGCGCCCCCAGCCCGCGGCGGTGCCGCCCCAGCCCGGCCGTGCGGAGGGCGGGCCGGACCCGCCGGGCCGGGGGTGCCGGTGCCGCGGCCCGTGGCGGGGCGGGACCCGCGATCCCGGTGATCCCAGTGATCCCGGCGGGGGGGGAGCGGGAGCGGGCGCGGGGGGCGCGGCCGGAGGCGGCGGCGCCGGGCGGGGCTGCGGCACCGACACCGACACCGGTACCCGTGAGTGTCGGGAGCCCGAGCGGGGCCGGGGGGCGGCGGGACCGAGTGGGCAGCGGCCGCCCCTCGCCCCCGTGCCCGCGGGCTGTGCCGAGCCCGGTGCCCCCAGAGAGCCGCCCTCCCAGCGGCCGCAGTTGCCATCGCGCGGTTGCCGCACGGCTCCGGTGCCCCCGCTGTCCCCCCGCTCTGCCGCGGCCGTGCCGAGCTCTGCAGCTGCTTGGGAGAGGATCCAAAGCAGCACGCGAGGTATCTCTAGTCTTAACCTGTCCTCTGCTGTCGTGAGCCCCAAGGTACCTTCCCGTGCTTCACCTATTGTACTGTACCTCTTACAGACTTTCCTAAGCTAACCAAGCTGGTTTCCTATTTTCCTGTGCTGGAGGGGACTGTACGTCAGCGTTGAGGTATTCTCTGTTCTCTCCCCGTGTCTGGAATTGTGATCTGAAGGGATCTGTTTTGGAATGGGAAGTTTTCAGGCAACAAAATCACTGTCATGCAAGTGTTGCTCTGCAGAGGTAGTAGCTGCAGCAGGCAACAGGCATGAACGGAGAAATTAGAAAATAGTGTTTTTTCATGGAAATGGACACCTATGGAGCCCTTATACAGCAAGAGAATAGGTTAGAGAAAGCAAGGGAAATAAAAGGTGTCATATACAATCCCACTGAAACCACGTGTGGTGGCTTTAGAGAGCTCACAAATACAGCTCGTTTTTTGGGTAGCAAAATATTATCAGGAATATACTGACAATTCTTGGGGCTGAAGTGCAGGGTTTATATTTGTGTTCTGTGAAGGCTGTGCTGGTTCTTCCCTCAGGCAGCGCTGCTGGACATGACTCAATCTGAAGACACAGGATACCAGTTTGTTGCTTTGTGTATAATGTTTGTCCTTGTGCTTATGTGCTAAAGACTCCTTTCATGTAATTGCTCCTTCATTTTCTTAAATACCTTTTGCTATTCGTTAAATTTTAATAAAGACTCGAGTTTCTTTGCATGTATTTTTAATACCATTGATTTGTATCAATCTGGCTAAAAAAGGTAAAGGTACTCGGACACCACGTGAGTGTAGATCCCTTGGCATGTGCAGCTGCCTGAACTATCAAGCACCTGAGAATCTCCAGCAAGGCTCAGGTAATTTAATGGTGCTGAATCAGGAATTTAGGAGATTTCCCTGTCCCTGGTAAGGCATCAAAATAAACCCCTCATGTTGAGAAGTCACTGCACGGAAGTGCTTAGTGAAGGTGGCACGAGTTCAGTCAGTCCTGTGGGTTTGCAGGGGTGGGAGGGTCTGTTGTATTGTCTAATGTCCAGGGAGAATTGTCAGTCTGTAGTTCTCCTGTAGACATTGCTCCCACCCCTCTGCCAAACTCAGCCTGACCCGTCAGGATTGTGGGATTTTCCACAGAAGAGGCACAGGAGTGTCCTCTTTCAGAGCCCAGGGATGGCTGAGCTCATTCCCCACTCCAGAGGGGCTGCAATTGCAGCTGTGAGTCCTTCCCGATAGCAGTGCAGTCACCTGACTGATTCTAACTGAGCTGGCAGAAGATGAGAGTATTTTTCTGTGAGTTTACTGAAAATTGGTGGTTAGAGTCACCACTCAAAGGCTTCCCTCCTTCAGGCATGGCAAGGAGAGCTCAGCCTCCCACCCCCGTCAGTCAGGTGGCAAATAATCACCTATTTCTACCTGGGTAACCAGCATATGACTGACCAAGGAGGGGACTATTTGGAGTTTTTTTTTCTTTTGAGAGAAATCATGGTGTGTGTACTATTAATGATTTGTGCCATTTACTGAATCCACAGGAAAAACAGGGTTCACACTTTGGCAGTCAGTGATTTCCATGAGCTGATGATTGAAACGGGTGCCTCAGGTTGTTGTTTGAATTGGGGATGTTTGTTTTGTTATGTAACTCGAGGGTTCTGCATGTGCTTCATCTTCAGCCTTGTATTAAACTTGATTCGAAACCAAATTACATTTTTCATAGAAAATGTAAATAAACCATGTTATGTTTCCAGATATGAAGGGAAAATAAAAACTTCATGTCATCTCCACAAAAGGCACTGGCAGAAAGAGCAGTAGCAGGTTGTCTGCACAGGCTGTGCTGATCCCTGTCTATTTTGAATGTGTGTCAGGGACACGCTTTAAGGATTTGGGATATGCCCTAATCTCAGTCCCTATGGAAAATCTCACTGGTTAAGAAAAGCAAGGTCACCAAGGAGTGCAAATAATGTACTGTGGGAGGGTTGACATCACATTTGTCACACACTCAGTATTTAGTAGGGAGAGTGAAATTTTGGGTAGAGCACTCCTGTTATTTTCTTGTTCTTTGTTAGGTCTCATCTCCTGCCTGTCACACGTGTTTGCCCTCCACCTTGCAGCCCTCCCAGCCCTTGTATTCCCAGTGCTGGAGTCCCAGGGAGCGGTGTGTGCAGCACAGCCATTTTGAGCTGCTGCTGCTCCTGAGCCATTGTTTTCCTCCAGAGAGATCCCTGAATACCTTACACACGTCCACTACCAGATTTGCAACTGTTTTGTTGAATTTGCAACTATTTGTTGAAAGATAATGTTAATTTAATGTCAGGAAGCAAGAAAGTTGCCATTTATGCTGTGGTAACAAATTAGCTGTTCTGGTTTTTGTTTTCCTGGACAGTTGCAGCGTTTCCCCAGCTGTTTCTGAACCGAGTGACTGAGTTTACCAAGCAAGACCTGCTGTCACTCTAATAATAATGCCTGTTGTCTGCCTTCTGTCTTCTTTTCCTTCCACTTATTTTGTCCCTGATCCATGTGTTGTGCTTCGAATGAGGAAGATCCTAGTTTTGTTTAAGGCAGCAAGGCAGAGCTGTGGGTTTGTAAGACAGTGAAAACACCAGGTAGGAAAAGCTGTGCTGGGGAAAACCACTGCCTTACTGGGCTCAGGCACTTCGTTCTGCATTTGCATGTGAAAGATTCTGATAACAATCTGGCAGAAGAAAAAGGGCAGGTGAGATAGGCAGGTTTCTGGCAGGTGTTTGTAAGCGTTTGACGGGCAGGTGTCTGTAAATGTTTGACGAGTTGTTCGAGCTCATACCCAGCTCGTTATTTACTTTCCCTGGCACTGCAGCTGCTCGTTCTCAAGCTCCCTGCCCGTGGAGCTGCCCTGGGCACTCTGGAACACTTTCCCCCCCCCTCGGCGGGTGCTGGACACGCTCTGGATTTGGGGCAGCAGCAGAACCATGACCCGCAGTGCTGGGCGAGGCCTCCTGCACAGACCAGGGTGCTTCTTGTCCTCGGACCCTCTCACTTGTGCAGGTCCGAACTGGTGCTGCCCTTCCTCCAGGGCTGGGGCCGGGGCTGCCCCTCTGCACTCCCGTCCATCCCGATCCCTGCCCTGCCTGCGGGGAGCAGGGCACGGCCGAGCCGGGGGGCAGCAGGGGGGTTGTGAGGAGAAAGGCAGAGTGGCCATTCTCATGTAAACCGTATTTGTGAGGAGACAGGCAGTGCTTGGCTGTCACGGATCAGGGAGGGAGATAACGCCAAGGCTCAACCTGGCCGCGGTATTTCAGTGTTTGTGTGAGGAGCTGCTGCACACACGGTCACACTGCCTTGGGTCTGTGTTCTGCACACCCAGTCACAGTTACACTGCCTTGGGTCTGTGTTCTCCTGCACACACAGTAAAAGTCACACTGCCTTGGGTCTGTGTTCTGCACACACACAGTCACACTGCCTTGGTCTGTGTTCTCCTGCACACACGGTCACGCTGCCTTGGTCTGTTTTCCCCGACAATCCACTGCCGTGCTGCTCAGCCCTGTTGTCCATGGGCGGTGCTCTGGCACACTCAGGACCCCCCTGCTCTGGTGTTCGGTCCTCCCCGGGGACAAGGACCGCGCACACCCAGCCCCTGCTGCCCCCACAGCGGCCGAGCCGGTGCTGCCCGCGGGGCTGGGCGGGCTCCGGGGATGGATCGCTGGAGGGGGGAGGATGGGTCCTCCCGGGCATTCTCTGCTCCGCAGCGCTGTGAGACACGACAGCAGGCACGGAATGGGGAATCTGCTCTGAATCATCACGCTGTAGGAACCTTACGCTCACCAAACCACCTCTTGTTCCTTGGATCGATTCCATCAATAATTCTGGGAGAGATGGCTGAGGAGTGGTTTTGGCAAGGTGACACCGATTGCTTTCTTCCCCATCTAGAGCTTTTTGGGTTGTGTGGCTCCCTTGGGTTTTACATTCTGTGCTGAGACGATTGTAACCCTTCCTCTGGGATGCCTGAGAGCAGCTGCTGTTTCTGTCTAGACACCCGAGCAAGGATGGAGACGATGTAACTTCCTCTGTTTTGAGAGCAGCTGCTGTTTCTGTCTAGACACCCGAGCAAGGATGGATATGACGAAAAGCTGTTTTCCTCCTCTGGCTCAGGATTAAATCTCTCTGTCACAGGTAAGGTCTGCACAGGTTTATTTGCTGGGGTGAATAGAAGGCAGGGAAGGTTTCATTCTTCCTGCTGCCACTTCACGTGGAAGGGCTCTGCACAGATGGTGGGGGGTGCTGTGAAAACACATTTCAGTGAGTCTTTCTGCCTGAATTAACCTGCTCCCCCCTGCACAAATGACAGGCACCGCTTGTGTAGCGGGAAATGGACCTTCCCTGGGAGACTGGAGGGTTTAACACTGCCCAAGTATTGTTCAAAGGTGTGTTGTTTTTCATATGCTAACTGCTGACTTGCTCAGGGATGCTCCCTGCTTCCCTGAGTTGCTCTCTGTCATCTCCTCCAGCCAAATATCTCCTTGTAACACTGGCAAGCAATTAACTATCATTCATAATTACAGGGTAAAAAGCTTTGCAAGGAAACTGTCTCATTAGAATAAGAATATACCAGAGTGCATTATACAAACCATACCCTATGTAATGAGAACATGGGTCATTTTCAAAAATTAGTGACTAAAATGAAGAGCCATGGGTGACTTTTAAGGAGATCCAAATGCCCCAAATATCAAAGGTATTAAGCAGTAACTCAGTGGAAAACTAGAGCAAAAACAAGAACAGTCTACTAGTACTTGGGCTTTGTTGATAAAAACAGCTTGTAAACACTAACAGCATTTACATAGTAATGAATCTCTCACTGACCATTAAATAACAGGGTATCTCTGGTTTTTTTCTTAAGACCAGGGCATTTCTCTAAGGAAATGGATACGTCTTCCCAAAAATACCCAGTCAAAAAGCGAGTGAAAATCCATCCCAACACAGTAACAGTGAAATACACTTCTCATTATCCCCAGCCAGGAGAAGAAGGGTGTGAGGATGTTAATGAAGATCCTGGAGTATTTAAGGAGGATAATCCTAAGAGAAGACTACTGAGTGATGGGAGAAGGAGAGAAAGGACTTTTTTTGGTACGATAGACAGCAAGCCAGCACAACTGCCCAAACCCGGTGAGGTGGGGCAGTGCCAGCATTCTCCTGAAGGGAATGCCCTGCAGTCCAGGAGGACGTGGGCAGTCCTGTTCGGCTCTGCCGTGGCTCACGGCTGCGTGGCTCTCATCACCAGATTGGTTTCTGACCGCTCCAAAGTGCCCTCCCTCGAGCTGATCTTCATCCGCTCGGTCCTGCAGGTGCTGTCCCTCACTGTGGTGTGTTACCACCACGAGCCTCCCTTCGGCCCCAAGGGCTACAGGCTCCGGCTCTTCTTCTACGGGGTGTGCAACGTGGTCTCCATCACCTGTGCCTACACCTCCTTCTCCATAGTGGCCCCCAGCAACGGAACCATCATGTGGAGGGCGACCACCACGGTGTTCAGTGCCATTCTGGCTTTCTTACTCATGGATGAGGGAATGGCTCACATAGACATAGTTACTGTGGTCGGCAGCGTGTTCGGCGTTTGCCTGGTCATGATCCCCAACATTGTTAAGGAGGAAAACTCTTTGCTGAGCACCTGGAAGGAAGCTTTTGGCTACACCATGACCGTCATGGCCGGCCTGACCACTGCCCTCTCCATGATAGTCTACAGGTCCATCAAGGACAACATCAGCATGTGGACAGCCCTGTTCACCTTCAGCTGGACGGGGACGCTGTGGGGAGCGGCCACCATGTTCCTGCTCCAGGAGCCGATCGTGCCCCTGGATGGAGAAACCTGGAGCTACCTCCTGGCCATCTGCCTGTGCTCCACCGCAGCCTTCCTGGGGGTCTACTACGCCCTGAGCAAGTTCCACCCCGCGCTGGTGAGCACCGTGCAGCACCTGGAGGTCGTCATCGCCATGGCCCTGCAGCTCCTCGTGCTGCGCATCGTCCCGGGCGCCTGCGACCTGCTCGGGGCCGCCCTCATTCTGGCCAGTGTCTTCTTCCTGGCGTGTCACAAACTCTCCTGGATGAATTTAAGGCAGCAAGATTATCAGGAGATTGTGGACTCCTCCATTAAATGAACCACAGCTTTGCTGTCCGAGTCTGGCTGTGACCACGTGAACATAGCTCATTTCAGCTCCCGTGCCTCGGCGTCGTGGCCAGGCCCTCTCTCTGCCATTTCAGTTCTCAGCTGATGTAGCAATGTTGGTGTTCCCAGACTCCCATGCCAGGTGAATTTGTTCTGCTGCACATAACCACTGACATTTTGTCATACACAAAAGGGCACCACACAGGGTGCATGAGCAGAAGCACAGGCTGGCCCACAGAAGGGAAGGCCAAGTCACACATGTTCTTCCTCCCCTTCCCTGCATAAGGCAGTACAGAGGGGTTCACTAGTGACTCTCATTCCTGTGCACTGTGGAAGTAGGAAAATGAGCAGTAAAACCATTGCAGTGGTCCGAGTTCTCTGTAATGCTTCTTAAGTTTTGCCTGCAATATTCTAAATGAAGTAATGTTAAATTTCTGTGGCTAAAACTTATGTTTCCTGTGTGTATAGAAGTCAGTAAAGCTTCTTGTGCTTTGTGGTTAAATTTCTGTCTGAACCAATGCAGGAAACCCAGACCTCCTGTAAGGGAAAGAGAGCCCCAAACGCTGAATCTCCAGTTGTGCCACAGCTGGGAAAGGTCCCCAGGAACTACAAGGTCTGTGATGGATCAAAGATCTACCCCTGAAGCAGAGCAAAACCCTTTCTATGGAACCACTTTTTCTAAAAGAGGTTTCAACTATTATGCAAAGGAGGGGAAAAAAAGGGAGAAAGTAAAGATTGTGTTTGAGGTCAAGGTGTGAGCACTGCTGGTAACACTGACCAGCCTGGAAGGCAGCAGGGACTTCAGTCAGGGTGCCTGGGTCCCACCACTGCAGTTAGAAAGCACATCTACAAAAAGCCCCAGGGTTCTGTGGTTGCAAACACTGCTCCTGGCCATGCTAATGTCCAGCTGTAAAGACAAAGGCCAGCATCCAAGACTCTGTCAGTGGTCTCCATGCCAACCAGGCCCAGCAGGCACCTCCCCACCCCAGCCAATTGTGCCTCTGTTCTGGGACGTGAGCATTTTCCAAGGAAAAATGCATCACTCAGATCACCCCAACCACTCCAGCTTCCCCCATGGAAAACACATTTTACTTGGAAAAAGCCACAGCAGCAGCAATTACTTTTATTCCTATGAATACCCTGGAGAGCAGGTTCCCTGACACCAGCCAGCCCAGGTCTGTGTGACACCCACGTCTTCCCACGCCGCTGACCCCCGGTGTCAGGGGGACAGGGTTCCTCAGGCACTGGCACAGTGACAGCTGCCCCAACCACTGTTTCCTTGAGGAGCAGGAGGAGCTGGCAGGAGGAGTTGTGCCCACTGTAGGAAAGACAGGAGAAAGGGGAGCAGGTAAAGCAATGTGGTGCTGGGAAAGCCGTGCCCGGCCAAAAATCCCTCTGGTAGCTCAGGGCAGGGCAGTTCCCAGCCCAGAATCTTGCTGTGCTTCTATCAGCTGATTTCTCTCTGGGGCAGATGGTCTTTCTTCCTCTGACTGCTCAGACAGCAGGAAAGCTTCCTTTATGGAAAGTAACCAGGGCAAAAGGCTCCAGCTCCCACAGCTGCCGTGCCTGTCCCGCTCCGCAGGGAGCCGAGCTCGTGACTGTGCCTCACTCCTGCCAACACATGCCGTGCCTGCAGCCAGCTGGGCACCTGCTGCCAGCAAGGAGCACTCGGCAGCAACACTCCCCAGGAGCCTCCCCTGAGCAGTGGGGATGAGTCCTGAGCCGCCCCAGAGCAGCAAAGCCCCCTCCTCACACCCTCCCTGCCCCCCCAGGCACCCTGAGCGCAGACTTGCAGAGGCACCCAGGAGCCAAGCAGGGCACAGTCCCCCCCCAGGACCTGGGTGATGGCCGGGAGGGTGCCCAGGGCTACGGAGTGTGGTGCTGCTCCAGCTGTGCCACCGCCTGCAGCAGGTCCTGCACCGCCAGGTCCACGTCTGCCCGCGAGGTGTGCCGGCCCACGCTGAGCCGCAGGGCGTTCTGTGCCACGGCGGGGGGGATCCCACAGCCCAGCAGGATCGGGGAGGGCCTGGGACACAAGGGGTGGGTGGGTTGGACTGAAGGCCAAGGAAACACACACTCCATCAGGAACCTCCCCAGGCTGTGAGAGGGAGCCCATGTGCTCCAGGCAAACCTGCCTCCTGTACAGCACCCTGACTGCTGTCCAAGGGCAGCTGCTCTCACTGCACTTGTTGCCCTACGGAGGATCTGGCTCTTCCCCTCCCAGGAAGAACCTGTGCCATGTCCCCGTGGGTTGGCAACTCTGCCATATCTAAAGAGCACTGCTCTAGACCAGACCAAAAGCAGCTGCTGTTCCCACCTTCCCCAGAGGAGCCATCTGGAGACCCAAACAGGGCTGCAGTGAGTGAGCCAGACACACGTGGACATAAGGCAGGCTCCCTTCTGGCAGCGACAGGAGTTCCAAAGTACTTCCAAGCTCAGCTGGATCACCAAAGCCGGGAGGGACAAAGTCCCTCCAAGCAGCAATCAAGCGTTCCAACTGTGTCTCCTGCAATAATCCCCTTCCCAGCCCTTCAGCCCCTCTGGAAAGCTCTGCACTCTCTCTGCTCCAGGTGACACTGCCCAAGCCCCGCACAGGCCCCTTCCCTGCCCCGTTTCCCTCCCTTGGCAGACCCCGGGCCCGGAGCAGCCAGCGCTTACCGCTCCCCCTTGTCCGAGTGGCAGGCGGCCCCCACGCTGGCCAGCAGCACCTTGCAGTGAGCCAGCACCCTGTGCCCTGCAGGGACACAGTACAGCTCTGCTCTGTGCCAGGGCCACCCTGCCCCACGGCCACCCTGCCCCACAGCCCTGCCCGCTGCCACAGTGGGCACGGGGGCTGTGAGGGGCAGGGGCTTGGCTCCGTGGGCACAGCACAGGGCAGTGCTGGGGGAAGAGCTACCTTGGAGGCCTGGTCCCAGGATGGAGAAGTTAGAGGTGTTGCAGAGTCGCTTGGAGCCCTTAAAGCGACTGTTGAAGTGGATCCTCTCCTTCCCAAAGGAGGCCTGGAGAAATCAGAGGGCTGTGAACTCCTCGAGGTTCACGAGCAGCTCTGCCCTGACGAGGGGGTGGCAGGGCCAGAGGGACATAACCCACCCTGCTCCAGGCCCTGCTCTGCAGTCTGACACCCCAGGAAGGGCCCAGGTGTGCTCACCTCCAGCCTGGCCTCCAGGTAATCCCGGACATCCCGCATATGAGCCTCGTAGGCCTCCCAGTTCTTGCTCACCAACTCTGCAGCCTGAGGACATAAAATCCCGACACTCTGGTACCCCCCCCGTGTGTGGTCCCTGGAATGAGAGTCCAGCCTGGACTCTGTGATTGCCCTCTGTGATTGCCAGTGCCCTGTGTCCCCCATGGCCCCTCGGTGCCCTGACCTGTGTGACTGCCAGGGCAGCAAACCTGCAGCAAGTGCCCCGAAGCACCTCATCCCACCGGCACCAGAAAGCTCCATCTCCCTTCCCTGTAGTTCTCCTGCCCTCCTGCACCCTAAGTTTGTCACTTCTAATGATCAGGAAGCACAGGTGGCTGTCCCTGTGCTGGTTCTGCCAGGAAGCACCTGCAGGGAACCACTTCAGCCCTGCCCATCACCAGCTCACCTGGCCCAGGCCAGCGATCATCGGGGTGTTCTCGGTGCTGGAATGGAAGAGGGAAGAGTGAGTTATTTCTCTGGACCAGAAACCCAACCTGTGGCACAGACATTCCCTGGGTGGGACCCCTCAGCACTGGCACCTCCCTGGGAAGGGGGCAGTTCCACTCTGGGGTCCCACAGGGACCTGAGCCCCAGGGAGTTCCACACATGGATGCGTGTCCCTGCTGTGCCAGGCTGCTCGCCCCAGGGCTGCCAGTGACACAGCTGCCAGCTCAGCTCAGATGAGGCAGCCACCTGTGGCTTGGCCACCAGCCCCAGCTCCCGGGCCACCCCTGCCACCTTACCCTGGGCGGAAGCTCCTCTCCTGTCCCCCCCCAAAGAGCAGGGGGTGCAGGGGGGCCGTGCTGCCGGGGCCGCGCACGTACAGGGCACCGATGCGGGGGCCGTAGAACTGTGGGACAGACAGCACTGTGACCTGGGGACACTGCCAGCCCCTCCCGTGCTCCGGCACACACCCACTGCCCTCCAGGGCTGGGCTGGCCCCTGCCCATCCCACGGGCACAGAGCACTGCAGGGCTGTTCCCCATCCCTGGTCCCCATCCCTGGTCCCCTCCTGCTCCCTCCTCCAGACAGGGCCCTGACCCGCAGGGTCTGCAGAGCCCCAGCCAGCAGGAAAGCTTCGGCCACTGACAAGGCACTGAGCTGTGGGGCCACCCAAAGTCCCCCTGGCACCCCCACAGAGATGTCTGACAGGGCAAACAGTGGCTGGGCCAGGTGAACAAGGCCACACCCTGCGTCCCCCCATGGTGAGGAGGGGTCATACCCTGTGTCCTCATGGTGAGGAGGGGCCTTACCCTGTGCCCCCACAGTGAGGAGGAGCCGTACCTTGTGCCCCCCATGGTGAGGAGGGGCCTTACCCTGTGCCCCCACAGTGAGGAGGAGCCATACCTTGTGCCCCACGATGGTGAGATAGTCCACACCCAGCTCCTGCACGTCCACACGCCCCTTGCCGATCATCTGGGCCGCGTCCGTGTGCAGCAGCACCCGGGGCAGCCCCTGCCCCGCCCTGCGCTGGTTGAGGGCTCTGACGCGCTGGCTCAGCTCCGCCACGGGCTGTGGAGGGTGAGGGGCTGTGTCCAGGGCCCCCCGCTCCCTGCTCAGGCACCTCTTTGCGGGGCTGCCCCACACTCACCATGATGACGCCGGTCTCGTTGTTGGCCAACATGAGGGACACCAGGCAGGTGTTGGGCCGGATGGCAGCGAGGACATCGTCCACCTCGGCCCGCCCGCTCTGCGGGGACACGGGCACAAAGGTGGCTTCTGCGAGCAGAGAACAAGCATGAGGTTTGCCGGGGAGCCCGAGGGCACCTGGGGCTGCCTGCGCCCCGCTGGGCAGGGCAGGAGTGTGGGGCAGCAGGTGCAAAGGCATGAAACACGTTCCTGAGGGAATGGGGCACCGCTGGGGGAGCCAGAGCCCTTTTGGGGGAAAGGGGAACAGCATGGAGCTCGTAGGTCCCACCCTCCTCCGCAGAAATGCCCGTGGAGGGAAGTCCACCACGCAAACCTCACCCTGCCCCTGTGTCACCCACCTGCCAGGCTGTCCTTGCCCAGCTGCTCCAGGGGCAGGCGGATGGAGTCGTGCTCCACACTGGATGTCACGATGTGCGGTGTCCCTGGGCTGTCCCCGGTCTGGCTCTCGAGGAAGTGCCTGCGGGCGGTGTGGATCACCATGTTGTTGGCCTGGGGAGAGGAGACAGAGGGAGGTGAAGGCCTGGAGGAAGCAGGTGCCCTTCGTCTCCACCGACCCCATCGCTGTTTGCTGGGGAGGGGATCGGGGCTCAGTGCTCCCACCTCCGTGCCCCCCGAGGTGAACACGATGTCCTCAGGCCGGGCCCCCACCATCTGTGCCAGGCTCTCCC